ACATAGTACAGCTGGGCATGCAAAACTCAATATTAATAAAAACTGCCCAAAAATTTTCCAATTCTATTATTATGACCGCAGCTGTATGTAATTATTAAGCACTGAAGGCACGTTTCTTTTTATCAACTGAATTACAAATCAATCTTATGTATATGCAGAGTAATGCAGATATGAATGTATGTAAGATTAACAATTTATTGTACACATTAGGGTGTGTCAAAAGTATTTTATTAAAAAGCTACCAAATTTTTTCAAAACAATGGCATAAAATTTAGAATAAAATGTATAAAAAAATTCCAAATTGATTTAAGACAAAAAATTATTTAGCAGCAGTGGCCGCCGCTTACAAAGACTCCATGCAAAAATAAAGTTGATATATGAGAAAACTTCCGAAAAGCTTCTTGCATTCAAATATCTTGAAATATTTATAAGATTTTTAGTAATAAATTTGTCAAAAAAGCATCTAAGAGCATAATTTTTGTTTCACCAAAACATATCAATCCACACTTGAGTTACGCTCGAACAAAACTGTCATCTCCCTAACACTATCTGGCAGAATCCGATCGACTTATACAGATAAATAACGCCGTCTATTGGAAAAATTTGGGGGTACTTTTTACTACACCAATATTTTGTATTTTACAGACGTAAGTTCAAAAAAATATTCGCCTTGAAAATTATTCAAATTGGAAGACTCCTCCAACAACTGAATTTTTAGGTATGAGATTTTAGCTAAAAATCATCAAAAAGCAAGCAATACAATAAAATTAATATCTTCAAGAAGGACATAAAGAATTTGGAATGGACATAGACAGCACTTCTATCATGTTTTGTAAAGAAAAAATACTACAAATTAAATACTGTTTAGTGCATTGAAGTCTTTATTGGAATAACTTTTTCGTACTTTTATATATTGAAATATTAAAATTAAAAATATCATTTAATATTATTATATATTATCTTTTTCTTTAATTTTTTTTTATAATTTTTATTTTTTATTCTGCCAGATAAATTTTAACAATTTTGATTATTTCTATTTTCTATTTTAATAAATTGAAAAAAAAAATTAAGAGTAAAAATTTTAGCTAGAAATTTTTTTTTATAAATAATCTCAAATTTATTTTGCTCAATTCAATTTAATTCGGTTACAAAAATATTTGCAATAAAGGTACCATCCTAATGCGCCCCTCATATATAATGGTAATTATCAAGGGCAACCAGCCGCTAGTGTGCCAACTGCATGCAATAATAAACCTGTTCAACTACGCAAATTGTTAAATTAAGTTTGCGGAAAATTAGCAATTTAATGAAACTTGCGCGAATTCGTACAAATCGTATACAAAAGAAATTACAGATATTGTACGAGAGTGTTTGTGCGGCCAATGTGAACTAATCGATGCTGGAAGTTAGTAGAGTTCACGGGAAACGATGATCGAAATTATAGTCAACAAGCAACACCTGAACATTGCGCATTATAATTCACAATTTGTTTAAATTCATACAATAAGGAAATAATTAAAGATAAGTAAAATGCGTTAGCATATAGTACATATGCCATGTGTATGCCCAGCAGAGAATAAAAGAGTGTGATTTCTCGGAGAAGCATCATAAAACGATTAACAGAATTAATAATTAAAAAAAATGTTTATATGAAGTTTGTGTATATATAGTCTCCGAAACTGCCCCAGCCGTTTTTTTTTTTAATTTCCTGGTTAGCTTCAATAACAGGTACGTCATTACCTAAATTAAAATTTAACACTATATCTTTCGTGAAGTAGTCTAGGGACCAATATTGTCCACAAATTCTCATTTATTGCTTGATTTAATTGAAATTTAGATCACTGGTCGCTTTCTACCTAAATTAGGAGCAGGATCACTGCGACTGCAGGCTGTTTTGAGTACAACAATGCCCTACATCCATATGGTGGCGAACTATCCTTATCGTTCAACCTAAGCTTAGATCAAAGTGATGGTAATTTAGAGGAAGCCTTTGAGTAGTGACTTAAGAGGCACACCTAGTGTGAAATTTCAAAAAAATTGATCTTTTTTCATATTTCGGTAGATTACACCTTTAAAAATAACATATTAAAATTTCAAATCGATATCTCAAATAGTTTTTGAGTTATAGCAATTTAAAGAGCAGCCGCTCGGCAGCTAGAGAGTCTCATTAGCTACGAGTGAAAACGATCATTTTATCTTTAAACGCGTTTTTCTCCGATCCGATCACTATCGAATTTTTTTACATGCTCTATATATAGTTCTCCGTACAATGACCTATCAATTTTTGATCTGATCAAAAAATGGAATTTTGGCAGGCCAAAAACGACCAAAATTTTGGGTAAAATTCGACTATTTTTTTTAAACGCCGCGGCGCCATATCGTCAATTTTTGATTTTTTTTATCGTAAGTCATTGTACAGACATTATCTAGTTTAACGAGAATTTTTTTTTCAGATTTCATCCACGGAGAAGGCCGGAATCACTGCAGCAGTGAAGGACCTTTTTTAGCGCCGTTGGAGATCGACTATAACTTAAAAAGTATTAAATTTTTTTCTTCAAAAATTTCACTGTATATTCCTGAAACATGTACAAATATATTCTTAAAATTTTTAAATAATTGATAAAGTATTTTTTTAATAAAAATTCCCAGTTCATTTTTTTAGGCCATTACACTAGGTGTGCCCCTTAAGAGTATATCTGACGTAAAAGAAGATCAAAGTAGTGGCTTACGGCTTAATTCGAAATATTTATATTCTCATTTTCGACTCGACTTATAACCTTAAGTAGCTAAACAATAACTCAGAACATTGTATGGTTTTTATCTTCAATTTTTACATGACACCACAACACATTACCAATTATAATGTTGATAAGTTGAACAAAATACCGAAAGCCTCAACAACGTGTGGCCGTGGCTTTAAGTATTCAAATAAAAATATGCAAATTATTAAATTAGAGCAAAATGTTCTGTTTAAATATCCATAAAACACTTTTATTAATAGCAATTATTAAAAATAAATATACAACCTTACTGAGTATTCGAAAAATCTTTAATGAAATTACAGCGAAATTTTTACTCTCGAAAATAAACCATAACTAAGCAAAGCTGCTCTACATACCAATTACTTTGGGAGTAGTGGTAAATTTGCTCTATTTTCAGTAAATTTATTACTGGAATATTAACTATAGCCAATCATTTTCCAAACACACAATATGTTTTAAGCGTTTAATTACTTGCTATTTAAATTCAAGATTGGAATGTAGTTTAAAAATAATCGCTAATAAACTTTTTAAGTTATAGAAAAATCATTAATTTTATTAAGCTCTAACTATAGGCGCATAAAAAAAACGTGTTTTTCTAATTAAAACGGAATATATATATATATATATATATATATATATATATATATATTTGTATATAATAAGTGAGCAGAGGCAAATGTAAAAAAATACACAATGTAACCATAGTGATTGTGAAGCAACTGGAGTGAGGCCTTTGATAAAACGAGCATACAAAATTACATCAAAGTCAGATCTTTTTCAAATTCAGTAATACAGGGTTATGCATTTCGCGGTTGCAAAAATAAACTTAAGTAAAATACGTTTTAAATAATTTTTTCATGAAATTCCACTTTCATTACAAAGGTTGAATCTTGGCATTATACATACGTATTATTGCATCATACAAATGATTGCCTCACGAATTTTGCTAACTTCGATCCGTTTGAAGTAATTTTCGACCACTTTTTGGCATATATTAGGCGTTAACTCAGATATAACTCAATTAATGTTGGCTTTCAAGTGGGCAATATTTAAAGGCTTATCCGTATAAACACGATCTTTCGCATAACCTCACAAGAAAAAGTGCAACGGTATCGAATAGCAAGATTTCAGTGCCCATTTCACATCACTAAGACGAGAGATTTCGCGGCCGAGAAATTTTTCTCGCACTAAAACCATATTCGCTCGTATTGTGTGACACGTGGCAACATCATATGTTATCCAAGTCATGCTCTTCAATTACAGGCCAGAAAAAGTAGGTTATCAAACGACCACAGCGCTCTGAATTGACAGTGGCAGTTTTGCCGTTGTCGTTTTGAAAGAAGTAATATTCTTTACTTCTTGGGACCAAAGAGCGTACCGGACAAAATATTTTTCTCTTTGGGTGTAATGACCTCTCCTGGAATTTGAGAGTTCTCGGAGCCTCAATTGCGACAATTTTGTTTATTTACATTTCCCCGAAAGAGAAATGTGTCTCGAGGATAAAGAGAATTTTTTTTTTCGAAAAATCGCCATCCACTAATTGTTTCTCACGCACCAAATCAACGTATGTATAGCGTTGTTATCTTCTGGCTTCAGTTGTTATGTAAGCTGGACTTTATATGGAGATATGGCATAAGTCGGAGTGCAAAATACGCTATAATGTGCCATAAGAAAGTCCCAACTCTTAAGAACGTCGAAAAATAGTCACATATGGTCTTCGGCTATACTTTGGCTACGCTTCCACTTATTGTAGCCAACTGTAGTGGAACGAGCAAAACGGTGATGCACAGGCCTTACAATATTTATGACCGATCTATTCTCTTAAATTTTCTTTAAAAATTACCGATTGTTTGAGTAGTTGGACGATTATAATCTTTTCTAGAACTATTTTTGCTCCAGATTTTAACAAATTTTACCGCGTTATGCAGTTGGTAAGCGATCCATTTTCACAAACACCTGACTAAAACAAAACATGTTTGATTTGATAGTTAAGTTTGACAAATGTCAAAATACAGGCCGCAAAATGTATATCCCTATATGAGCACAACCCACGCTTCTACAAGATTAAATAAGTTATTATTCTATTAAATACAATTAGTACAATAACAGCATCATATGTACATATATTGTATATGTATACGTTAACAAATAAACATACTCGTGCATATGTATGTACGTGTACGTACTTAAGTACATTTATTTAATGAAATAACAAAAGGTAAATGCAAAAAAGCTAACCTGAAGACAGATTCATCGTAGAAGAGTAAAATTCGTAGCGGTTGGTCAGCGGTAACGGTGCTTCGCTTTTGTAAACTATGTGTGGTTGTCTGCTGTGGGTGTAATGGTGAATCAGCCGTCTCGATGCGGACGCCATGGATAACCTAAAATGTATAAGATTACAGAGAAATCGATTAGGAGTAAATATATACATGCATACGTAGAAAGTATCCATAAAATTATATTATATTTATATTTATAGCAAAATATGCATTAAGTATATCATATGTTCAATAATACGCCAAGCCTGAGCAGTTGGATTGTATTTCTAGCTAACTACATAACATCGAGAAGGCAAAGAAATGATTAAATTTCAGCGAAAAATACAACTGCGGCGTTTGACGAACACACAGGCTTCTTCTTCTTCTTTTATCAGGTGTACAACTTTGCTTCCGCCGTTTTTTTTCCAAAATTAAAAGCTTTATTGCGATAAAGTGCTCACAGATATATAATATTATTCAAAGTATTGTCCTTCGCTAGCGACTTCTTTCTCCCATCTTTCCGGCAATTTTCGGATCTCGGCTCGAAAAAAGGAGTCCTCTTTTGACGCTATCCATTTTTCCAATTCTTCGAAGGATTTAAAATCTTGATCTGCCAGGCCGTGTGCCATCGAACGGAATAGGTGGAAGTCAGAAGGGGAGACATCTGGGGAATACGGCGGGTGGGGCAAGACTTCCCATTTCAGAGTTTGCAGGTACTTTTTGACCACTTTTGCGTTGTGAGGCCGAGCATTGTCGTGTTGGAGGATGACTTTGTCATGTCGCTCTTGATATTGTGGCCGCTTTTCTTTTAGCGCATTTTTTTCGAATTGTAACAGAAAAGTAAAACTTCCCGCAAATGGCGAGAATTAGGCACATAAACGGACATTTTCGAGCCTCAATAATACGAAAACAAGAACAACTGTCACTGAAACGGCGATGACAATTCGTTAGGCACTGTCCACACTCACTTTAAAGGCATTATCATCTATGTATTTCAACCAGCCTCAGCCGGTACAGCCACCTATGGGAAAACGGCGGAAGCAAAGTTGTACAACTGATATATTAAAAGAAAGAAGAAAACTTTAATATTATTAAATAAATCATTGCATTTTTATACTGATTGGGTCGGAATGACGAGTTGAGTTTATTTAACTAGAACCGCATGTCCGTATGTTCATCTGTTAGAAAGCAAACTAGCCCCTCAGTTTTTGAGATATTCTCCAACCAAACTTAGTATGCAAATGTACTGATGTACTGTTACATTCAAACTATCGTTCGTCGAAATCGTCCCGATCGGACTACTATAACATATGTATATGCCTATTTTTCGGATTTCAGAGTTTGGGTCATAAATCCATAAAAAATGAAATTTAAAACTATGATACTAATATATAAATATATTGTCACCGAAAATCATTGAAATCCAAAAACTATATCATTTAGGCCGAATACAACCGATTTTCTCTGATATGAGATTTTGGTAAAAAAAAAAAATCCGAAAAAAAGCAACTAAAAGCATGAAATTTGGTGTTACACACACGTAAAGTCAAATAAATATTGTTATAGTCAAAAGTAATTCATTATTTGTGCATTAAATTGAAGATTTTATTTACCATAGTTAGCATCACACGATATGGAATAATCTTGTCTGAAAAATCGTTTGGTATCGAACGGCTCAGAGAGGTCCTTCCCGATCCTGACGGAGCTTTTGTTGTAGCTTTACGTCAGTTTACATAACCGTATCAGTTTTGCTGCAAGAACGAATTCAGGCAAAGCAGCGTAGATGCAGCTCCTTTTCGTGCTGTCGAAGGCTACTTTAAAATCTACGAGAGCGGAGACCAATCCAATGTAATGTAATATGTATTATATGTTAAAACCAGCTGAATACATTTATGCAGTGAATTGCATAATAAGGTGATTTCGTAACATGTCTTTTCCCACCCGCCGTGTTCGCCAGACTTTGCTAATGCCGACGAATGATTTTTTTTTTTGGCGTTCACCGGTTCAGGTTTTTTAAAAAAGTCGACGAAAGGTTCAATGATTGGATACAGAGCAGAGAGGAATCATTTTTTAGGGATGATATTCGAACATTACACTAGGGAGATAGCCAAAGTAGTCGCTTCCGACGGACAATAGTTTGAATAATTTATTTTTTTACTTTTAGCTTTTGCGGTTTTTAAACAAAATTAGTAATCAAACGTCGAAATATTCGTCAAATAATGATAAATGGCCTGCCGGCAACACAGCGACGCAACAAATAATTATGCACAATGCGTTTATTAATGTAAGCATGTGTGCAGTGTAAGAGGTATTGCATACACATTCACTTTTATTTAATTTTTTTTCTGGTTTTACGGTGTTTAAATTATGTTTTTAATTATTCACATGCAGTTGAAGTATAAACTTTGAAAGTCTTTTTTTTTTGTTATTATAAAATTAAAAAAAAGCACACTCGTTTCACATTTTCTCATTAGGCCTAAACGATTTCTTGTTGTATTTGAATTGGTTTAATTAAAAGACAGAAGTCAGCCCACTCTTTTATTTGTAAATATTTTTCAATTGTCTGTGGTAGGTATTTATTTGAGTACCTGGATGATGGTTGACCTATTTCTCTGATATATATTCCGTTTCTATGAAATGTCCCAGGAGCTCAAATCATGCCTGTCTGCACATATATAATGATTCTACGAAAGAATTTGATTGCAACTGCAAATACCCGGCCAGCTTTGAGAGTTTTCTAGGAAATAAGCGTGGGAGTGTTACAAATATTTCCATTGTATATTTCAATTTGAGCTTCAAGCAGATTATGCAAATCAAGCAAGCAGAATTTAAAACCACCCCACAATAATGCAAGGAGAATAAATGAAAGTTCGCTGTGGAAGGCAATAAAGTGTGACTTAAGACCATTTACGTTATTTATACATTTTTAAAACATATTCATTTTATTGAAGCGGTATTTCTTTAACAAATTTAACTGCACTACAATAATTAAAATTTATGGCTTGGTTTTATATTTATTTTGCCAGAAAAATATCCCTTCATTTCGGTGTCCGAATAAAATCGATATTTTTAATTTTTCGAATAGAAAGTTGATTGGAACAGGGCTGAAGAGCTGTGTCTATCCATGCGGAAGTCTTTCTAGCTTTCATGACGATATCACCTTTGTATTGAAAAATTGATTTAACTATACTATGATAAGGTCCACCGATTTCGATGATTTTCGATAATAAGAGTTATGTGTAGATACGAATGTATAATACTAAATTTCATGCCCTAAGATGCCTTTTCGAGATATATTCAACAAAAAAATCATTTCTAAACAAATCGTTAGCATAGCCCTCCGATTTTGTTTGCTTTCATGACAACAGTTATGCAGAATACTAAATTTCACGCTTTTGAATGCTTTTTTGACATATTTATGACCTAAAAACTCAAATATCATTTATGTATATGCCACTGTGGTCCGATCTGGCCGCTTCAAATGTTCCGACAAAGTGTTTAAATGTAACAGACTATCTGTACACCAAGTTTTTTTAAAATATCTCAAAAACTGGCAGCTGGTTTTTGTACAAACGGGCGGCCAGACGAACATGGCTAAATCAACTCATTCCGTCCCGATCGATTAAATTTTTAATGGCTCTACCTCTTCTCCTTCAGATAGTTACATACTCCGGACCTTGTGCGAAAATATATAGAAATTTTTTTTGAAATATTATCGGCTTTGCTCCAACTTTCCCATTTTGATTCGCAATGTGAATTCAATTCAAATGTCCACAAAATTTATCATCGATAAATGCCTGATCTGTTTTACACTCTTTACACTTGATAACAATTTAACTATTGCATATTGTTTGTGATCATGAAGGATCATTTCTTTATCTAGGTAAGAATGTAGTCCCGATGTACCCTCGATGAATCTAATAATAAGTTTCTTCAAGATCTCAAATATCAACGATGAACTGTCTAGAGAAGGAACTATCTAAAGTGCTGCACACCTCGGGAAAGTACCTTAAACTAAATCTGACCACTAAAAAAGGAAAAGATGACAAAATATCGAATAGTATTTTTGAGAATTTTCGAGAAATTAGGCAGGTGATAGGAAACTTTTTTTATAAGATAATAACAGCTAATTAACTAACTTATCCAAGAGGTGAACTTTTGTCGATTTTAAGGGAATGCCAAATGCAGCATATTTCTGCGGAACAGGCTTATTAAATCTATTAAAATATGTATTTATTTATAGAAAATGCCATTTACTGGGAACAGAAAAATAAGATAGCTTTACACTATTGCAAGATTCCAATTATGAAATTTATGGAGAAATATATTTACATATTTTTGTTTGCAAAATATAACAAAATATTCATAATTTATTAAATTTATGTACAATATGTGTTGATATATCGTATATTTGGCACTTTGTAACCGCGGAGCTACTATTTCATGTCAGAAATAAAATCGGAGAACTTGACATTCATTATTTGAATCGATAGTATGGTCCATATAATTTAATGTTTGAAGATTATTTCATGCAAATATTTACCGTGACTGCGCCTCAAATGATCCAGCCGCTTAGTCTATTTTTGGCATACTCTCTCCTACATTTCGGCCGGTATCTCACAAATAAATGCTTCAATGTTATCCTCCAATGTGTCTATTGAAGCGGGCTTGTCTGTTTAGACATAAGATTTAACAAAGCCCCGAAAAATAGTCTAAAGGCGTTAAATCGCACGATCTAAACAGCCAATTGGCCGGTCCGTAACGTGAAATAAATTGTTTACCGAACTCGCCTCTTAATAAGCCATTGTTACGCGTGCTGTGCGGCATGTGGCCCCATCTTGTTGAAACCACATGTTATGCAAGTCAGGCTCTTGCATTTTGGGTAAAAGAAATTTGTATATCGCTCATCATTTACAGTTACGTTGCGATTCGCATCATCTTTGAAGAAGTACGGTCCAATGATGCCACCAGCCTATAAACCGCACAAAACAGTGACTTTTTCTGTATACATTGGTAGTTCTTGCAATGCTTCTGGCTGATCTTCACTCCATAATCGACAATTCTGCTCGCATTTCGATAATAGAATTCAATAGTTTGCAAGTGTTGTTCATTTGTAAGACGAT